GGAGGGCCAGCACTTGAAGGACAGGTCTGCGCAGCTGGGGTTAGGCCCTGGCCTGACCAACAGGGTGCGCATACCCCATAACCTCCTGAGGCTCAGGGTCCTCTGTTCAATGGTGGAGAGGAGATCAGATTCCCTTTTGAATTTCTTTCTCTTCCCAAATCCCACAATTCAAGAAATTCCTTCAGAAGTGATCTATAGAAACTTATTTGACACAGGGGGAGAAGAAAGTGGAGTCTAGACCTCGGTATTTATTTCACTTGTCCCACAAGCAGGTGACACTCGCCCTGAGCAAGGCCTCTGAGGTGGCGTCTTCCTCTTTGCTTCTGTTGTCTTCCTGTTAGTCCGACTCTCAGGAGCTTTAGTTAGGGGGAGAACAGTCAACAGAGGCAGAGGGAGAGCGGAGAGGCAAAAGGGGAGAGCCTGAGATGAGCCGTGAGCCACAGATTCTCGCAACCCACACTTCAGCCTCAGGACTTGCAGCTGCCACTAAGCGGGGTGGGGGCACTTAGAATGAACAAGATTTTAATCTAAAAGCCACATACATTTGAAGCAGAAATGAAAGAATAGCAGCAGGAACCAAGGACAGTGGAAAAATAGCCGTCATCCTGCCACCATGCAGGGGTCCCCCAAAGACACACACCCCACACACTTTTCTGAGAAATACTGTGCGGCTGTATGGTTTACTGCGAAGGCAACCAGCATGCACCCCCTCCCCCCCCAATAAAATCTTGCTTCTTTGCAACGAGAACTATCTTGAGCTACAGCCCATTTGATCCCTCAGGAGCAAGACGAGCTCTAAATCTGGGCACCACATTTTCTTTCACAAGAGGAACTTCCATTTATAAACAAAATAGTGACCTGTGCCAGGAGAGGTGACTTTTTGTGCCTAGCAGCCCCATGACCAAAACAACCTGGGGGACCTCTCTTTGCCCAGGCGTCCCAGGTCTTGTCTTCCTCACCCCAAATCCCTACGCTCCCTTCACTTTTGCTCAGCCTAAGAACAAGCCCAAGCTCAGCCCATCTTGTCGGGTCACTCACCCGTTGGTGGTACCATGTGTATGGTGTATAATGTTCATGTTTATGAATTTCCGTGTGTGTGTGTGTGTGTGTGTGTGTGTGTGTGTGTGTGTGTTGTTATTGTTAATTTGTCCCTTGGAAATGGAATAACAGGGCCAGAAAACCTATACTCAGTATAGAGGGAGGATACATTGTTTTCCTTTCCTGCAATTGTGACTTTCTTTTTCTTTTTTTTTTTTTTTTTTTGCATTTCAGCTTTTCCAAACATGATTTATATGTGTTTTTCTTAGACGTTTAAACTTGTTAGATCAGAGTTGATCTGTCACCCTGACAGACTGCTCAGTAGAACCCAGAATACTTGTATTTTTACTGGCCTACTACGAGGATGTCCATTGTTATCAATAACCTGTATATTTTTATTAAAATTTTTAAAAAATCTTTTGTCTATTTATGTATTTGGTACAGGGTCTCACTATGCAGCTCAGACTCGCAGTGATCCTCCTGTCTCAGCCTCCCCAGCACTGGAATTGCAGGCATGTGCCACCATGTCTGGTTTCAGTGGCCGGCATATAGCACATCTTGTAGTGCCAGGGATCGAACCTGAGTCCTTGTGTTTACCAGGCAGGCACTTAGACTACTGAGCTATCTCTCCAGCTCATGTTTTTATTTTTTAAATGAAAATTATATCTATGTTAAAATGGATATGTCTTTATTAATACATCAACTCTGGTTTCATAGGCTTGTTACTTAGTTGTACATTTGAAAGTGTCTTTCTTTTATATTTTACAAGACAACATTGATTTTAAGGATAGTAACTTTTATTATGCAAATGTCATTTAGTACTTGATATTTAATTAATTAACTTTTTTTTTTTTGAGTCAGGGTTTCACTATGCAGTTCAGGCTGCCTTTGAACTCACTTTGTAGCCCAGGCTGGACTTGAACTCCCAGCAATCCTTCTGCCTCAACCTTCGGAGTGCTGGGATTACAGTCATGCCCCACCATGCCAGGCTATATATACATTTTAAAATAATTTTTTATATACAGATTTTTAATTGTAAGCCTCAGGCCTATCGATCTCTTCCTTTGTCCTGCTCTCTACCATTGAAGCTATGCTTATCCTTTAGAATTGAACTAGATGTGAGAGGAAGACTTAATGTTTCAAGAAGAACTGACTAGGCTGGTGGCGCACACCCGTAATCCGAGCACTCAGGAGGCTGAGTCAGCCATGAGTTCCAGGTCAGCCTGAGGTACTTAGTAAAGCCCAGGTCTCAAAACACAAAACAAACACAAAGTTGCTTTTCCACTTGCCCACTTGCTCTATGACAGAGAAAAACTACCTGCCCATGGACAAGAAGAGAAGGCAACCTCTCTTAAAGGCTGAGAAGGGTAGGAGACACCTGTCTGACGGCTGGCAAGTTGGCCACTTAGAAGTAGCAAAACAACATGCTAGTGGTTTCTCAGAGTCCACCAATGCTTTAGAAAAATGTATGTCACAAGCATCCTTTATTTAAAAACATTTTAATTAAAAGATATGTGTTCTTTACCTAACTTTCCAACTTTGTAGAAGTTGACATAGTGAAAAGGGAAGTTCTCATTTAGACCATCAATTCAAATCCTGGAAAGGAAGCACTATAAAATGTTCAGCAGGAGTGGGTGCACTTTTTCTATGTATACACTAATAATAACTTAGTATAGTATATATAGTTTAGTATAGTATAGCGTAATATAATATAATTAATATAATATAATACAAGAAAAGGGGTTGTCTTATTTTGCAACTTGTTTTTTTTACACAATTTTCCAAAGGTGTCTTTCCATATCTTTTAAGTCTGTTTCATTCTGTATACAATTTTAATAATT